TAATTTCCTGATTTTGATAATTGTACTGTGGTTATGTAAGATGTTAATTTTAGAGAATCTGGGTGAACGGTATACAGAAGTTCTTTGTGCTATTTTTGTATCTTTTATTAAGTCTGAGATTATTTCAAAAATTAAAAGTTAAAAAAATTGAAAATGACTTTTACAGGGGAGGATGATAGGTTGGGGGCCGGAGATGCAAAATGAAAGAGAATATTTCTGATAATATGAATAAAATATTCCAGGCCTGGATCCTCCCTCCCACATGTCCTGTCCAGAATGATGTCCCCAGAGTAGCCTAGGACACAGCATAGATTTGTCTCTCCCCAAAGATGCTCTTTCATTTCTCCACAGTCTCTGCTTGAAAAACACCAACAGGAGACCCCAGCGCTTGGGGCCTCTGGCTCCTGCTGTTAAGTCACTGGGAAAATCAATTATGGCCTAATTACCTCAGGGGGTTAATTAGCATCGTGTAGCTTGGGCGCTCTGTGAACAGAGCAGTCTGTCTCCCTGGTCAATGAGCAGGGGCGGCAGAGGCAGAAGTTCCCAGGAAGAAGCCTGCCTTTGGGCTGAAAGGGGGCCCCTGCCAACTGGGGAGTAGACGAGGCTGAGGCAGTAGCCTGGGCCATGGAATTGGGAGGTGCTGATGGAAGCAAGTCCAGGCCTAATTTAAGTGCCCCAGTGCCACAAACACAGAGATGCAGAGACCGACAACTGCATCAACAAGAAGAATTACAGAACAGAGCAAGTTCTCAGGCCAACAGTTGCTGGAAATCACTGTAATCGGGGAGAAGGCACGGAGCCCTGAGCAGTTCAGGGAGCCGGCTGTCTGGGGCAGCGGCTGGGGCACCACCAACAGCCCCCGCAAGTACTCTTTCTCAGTGGAATGCACGCACGGGAGAGAGTCAGTAGGCACCGTCGCTGGCCTCCTCCAAAAGTGAAATGGGATTGAAGAAGCCCAGTCTTTGAGGGGCAGTGTCCACAACTCTCATGACGCCTTCCTACTGGGATGCACGAAGACTTAGACGCAGAAGTCACTCTCCTACAGCACAGTGCTTCCCCTGGGATACACTGCCATGTGGATGGATGGCATCTATCTGATCTCTACCAGCTAGAAATGCTGGGTATAAAGGAAGGGAAAGCAATACTTCTTGTTTTATGTTATTTTTGGAAAATCATAGAAAATGGTTTTATAATTAAATAAATCTGAGCTAAAATTCTGGCTCTGCCACTTAGCAGCTGTGTGAACTTGGGCAACTCACTCTATTCCTCTGAGCCTCATTTTCTCTGGGAAATGGAGGTGAGACTATTTACTCCCCATGGGAGTTGTGAGGATTACATGAGACAGTGCCGACGAAGCCCACTAAATAAGTACGTGCTCCCTCTTTAAATAACCCATCTATAGATCAACAACACTCATTTGGCCTCGAGGGTTTTCTTTTCACTGATCTGCAACCTGGATTGATATGAGGATGAGGATGCTGCAGTGACGCGGTGAGAGCCAGCGTTGCTTTCCTTGGCCAGCAGTGAAAATGAAATCAGGAAAGGGGCAGCGCGTCTGCTTAGGAAAGAGGTGGAAGAGGAGCAGCCCCTCCCTAGTACCTGCCCAGGCCTTTACTCCCAGTCACCAGAAGGAATGCGCAGTTAGTTTCAAAGTACAAGTGGCAGTAGGTGAATAGGGAGCAGTGAAGAGTGATGAGTACATAATGCCAGCAAAGTCGAATACAACCATTCCTCTCCCAGGCCATTCAAAGCCTCGGCAGCTGCATTTTCATTCACATCATCTATTCATCTTCTTTTGCAATTTGCTATTCAGGAAACATCATTTTTTTTTTTTTAAAGATAATTAATTACCTATTTCTTTCCATTAAAATGCACAAACAGATTGGGATAGAAAGTCAACCCTGGGAAATGGCACAGTGGCTAATGTGGTGCCTGCCTTAACTTTCTTCTTCTGTTTTCAACTTCGCAACTCTGAGCTAATCTCAGCTCCTGACATCACATTTCTGCTGAGAAAAGCAAAACCTGCTTTCTGAAATGTTCACCTACCATTCAGCCAATTTCTCGTCCCCCGCTCGCCCGGCCGGCCTGGCAGGGAGGCTGAGCTTGCTCAGCTTTCCCTGCTGTGCGCACGCACATTCGTCCACAGACAGGCATGAGGACACACTTCTATACACTTGTCACTTATGCCTGGACACGGGCCCTCGTGCCCCCATGAGAGGCTTTACACACCCCACATTAAACACACCCCATGCCAAGACTTCTTCCACAAAGGCTCGACTTGCACTTGTCTCCCCCTGTCCGAGGGTGGGTTCCTGGCTATGCCATCCCGCTGTGGAACTTGGGGAGCTCACCTCAGTGATCTGGGGGTTGGAGCACTTAACGTTGTGGCTGGACCAGTCGAGCCAGAGACTGGAGGGGACGGTGCAGTGCTGGCGGAGGGTGCATCTGTGCTCGCCGCTGCACCAGCCGCACTCAAACTTCCGGTCGGCCTTCAGGCAGAGGCCGCAGCTGTCTCGCTGGGCTGCACACTTGTAGAGATGGACTGCAAAGAGCGGAGGACAGTCAGAGATGGGGTTGGAGAGGACTCCTCACAATTTACCTTCTTCTCGCAGGGGTGATGGAAACCGTCCCTAACCACGCAATACGCCAATGACCGTCATTATCATCGCAAGAATAATCGATGAAGAATTAATAATAAATTGAGCCTCTTAGCAGTTGTCTAAAGGCACTACAGAAAATATTATTATTTAAAAGTTCTGGCTCTAGATTGAATCGAATCAGGGCTTTATTGTGGCTTTGCCACTTCCTAGAAATGTGACAAAGAATTTGGCCTCTTTGATTCTTGTTTACTTAATCTATAACATGAGGATAACCGTTGTTTTTTTTGTGAGGTTTGAACGAGATGTTTATTTAAGTTCTTAGCACAGTGCCTGCAACATATATGATGGTCTATACATGCTTATTACCTTTTCTTTGAATGCTAACTACATGCTCATGCTGCTGCCTCTCTTCCTCTCACATGTTGCCCTCGTCACAAGAGATCAGGACTAATTTCTCCATATCACATAGAAACGAAGCTCAAAGAGCGAAGTAATGATTCTTGGCGCTTACTAAGCTCCAGCTGGGATCGTGACATTCTGATTTGCTGAGCTGCTGGACCCAGGTCCTGCGAAGAGAGGGACGCCTTTCCTGGCACAGTGGGACCTGGTGGGTCTGGGAGAGGAGTCAGATGGGGCTTTAAGAAAGGCCAGGTGGCCGGAAGTCGAGGCAGAGCTGACAAGGAACAAGAGTCCACACAGTCCTGTTCATGGCCCCTGTGGATGGAGGAAGTTCCCAGAGAAAACAAAACAGCCACTGAACAGGTCACTTTTGGGGCCTGCGAATCCATCGCTTTTGCTCTCGCCCCTTCCTGACTTAGAAGTCCTCGACGGGCCAGTCAGCTGAACTGCATTTGTGAACCTGGGGCTTAGCTGTTGTCTGCTAGTGTTTTGAACTCAGAGTCTCAAGTAAAATTCTCCATAAGCAGAAGACTCAGCCATTTTTCAACTCCTCTGGTCAAGAAGACAGAAGCTTTCAGGGCCAGCGGCGTGCCTCCACTGGAGATCAGTACGTGCCTCAGGGGAGATGCACTCTTTATCCTTCCGTAGGTTCTCATCCTGTTCCTCCGCTCTGTCAAGCATCCCTCAGTCCCAGATGCAGAAACTAGATTTAGACATCCTCCTGCCTATGGCTTCTTATGGTAGAGGGCGGGAAACGTGAACCTCAAAACGGACAGGGACACGTTAAGTACTTGTTACTAAACACAAATGGTCCATATCTAAGATGTCATCTGAGCCTCGGATGACCCTGAGAGGAGAACATCCTTTCCTTCCTCCCACGGATGCGGAAGCCGGGATGACAACATAGAGAAGAGCTGTAATTAGTTTGAGTTCACATAACCGTACGTGAAAGGCACAGGATTTGAACCCTGGTTAGTTAGAGTCTAGAGCCCAAGTGCCTAACCACGATGCCTTCTCCACCCCAAACGGTGCGTGGTCTCCAGGAGCACTCGGGCTCTGGGCACGAGACGCACGTAGAGGTGGTGCCACCCGTGCACTCACGAGCTGCGTGTAAGTTGGGGAGTGCCACCAGGGAGGGTTCCGAGGTGACAGCTGGGATGTGGCCGTTTTTCTCTAAGCTCCAGGTGCAAAGGCAACCTCTGGGAACTAAGCCCAGACCCTCGGCAGGGGAAATGTCTATCTCCTAGTGCTGAGAAAATTTGGCATCGGTAAAAGGAAAGGGAGGAAAAAAAAAATCTCCCCGGCTCGGTCTCCTACTCCCGGCCTAAGCGGCGTGGATCTTCACGGCGGCATATGGGATCTCGCGCTGCAGCCCCTGAGAGGCTGAAGCGCTTGCAGGCCCTACTGTGGCCTTGGGCTCCCTCCCTGTGCCCTCAGGGTGACTCTCAGGCTGAGGGAGAGGCTTGCGGCAGCCACAGCTACCGGAACTGTGTGGAGACACGTGGCTCCTGGTGGGGGGATTGGGTTCTGGTGGGAGGAGGCTTCGCATCCCACAGTGGACTGAGCCACAGGGAGGACGGCGACGTGGTTAAGCGTGTGAGCTCTGAAATTAGATTGTCTTGGTTCAGGTCTTGGCACTTACTATCTGACTGTTGGTCTTTTTCTTCCTTTTTCTATTTTTCAGCTTTATTGAGGTACAATTGACAAATAAAATTGTAAATTGTATTTAAAGCAAACATCATGATGATTCGATATACGTATACATAATGACAGGATTCCTCCCATCTACTTAACACACACAATGTTATCAACTATAGTCACCATGTTTTACATTAGATCCTGAGACTTTATTCATCTTACAGCTGAAACTCCGTACCCTTTTACCAACCTTTGTATATTTCCCCCACCCTTAGCCCTAACAACTACTTTTCTACTCTGTTTCTATGACTTTGACTTTTTTTTAAGATTCCACATATAAGTGACATCATGAAGTTTGTGTCATAAAATATAACACATTTCGTGAATTCGTGTATCACCTTTGTGCAGGGGCCATGCTAATCTCTGCATCGTTTCAATTTTAGTATAGGTGGTGCCAAAGAAAGCACCCTCGGTCCATTTCTTAGCCTCTTTGGGGTTCAATTTCTTTACCTATAAAATGAGAATAATACTAGTACACACCTATCAGGGTTGTTGTGGTGATTAAAGAAGATAAGCTTGGATCAATAACTTAGTGACTGCCTCCCCACAGGGAGTACTCATCAGACTGGAGGTACTTCTGTCATTCTTGAGAGCAGGGTGGAATGCTGGCGTTTGCTGTATTGAGGGCAACGCCTACCTGGCACACAGGACGAGCCGCACATGTGTTTGCAGGATGACGAATAAGGGAGCGCCCCCCTGTGTCAGCTCAGCTTGGTCCTGAGCATCCTGGCCCAGCTGTGCGCTGGAGTCTGCAGGCTGGTCCTCCCACCCACCTCAGGACCGAGAGAGCAGCCTCGAAAACATTCTTTGTGCAAGGACGAGGCCAAGGACGGAGAACCAGAACCCGATCGGAAACAATGTCTCCATTTCCAGGGAAACTGGCAGGACATTCCTGCCTGCTGCTCTCCTACGTCAGGTTCAACAGACACTTCAAAGTCTCCGGGAGCCTAAGAAAACCACGATGAGCCACAGCCGCCAGCGGATGCTCTGGTTGTAATAAAACAGGGTTCAACAGGACTCCTTTGATGCTTCCAAATGTTGCTTTCGGATCCTCTGAAGAGTCCCGCTGACAGAGGAGTGTATTATTCAAGACACGGCAGCCAGCGCGCTCTGATCCCTCCAGCCCCAGACTTTCCAAGGTCACGAACAGATCAAAATGACTGGGAAGTAGCCACTTACCTTTCAGGTCCTGAGGGTTGTCAATGATGAAATTGCCATTCCACACCACGGCGAAGTCCACGGCCAGGTTGCTGATGTCCATTCCGTCATACTGGTACTAGGGGGAGAGGGCAGAGGCACGTGACTTGTGGGGCTCTCTATCACAGGAGGC